TTTTCAATCAGCAATAACCGCGCCTCGGATAGACCTCACTGGCTACGGTAATGCCACTGCGCAAAGCTAACTGCTAGAGGATTGCGAAAAATAATTTGAAGCAAACAACATTGCCTTCATTGTGGTATCTAATTCAGTACATACGCCGGTCTTCGTAAGCTAGTATTTTTGTTTCTGACCTTTTAATCTTCCCTTACGGAATTAAAATAAAACGAAGGCAAAGCAAACTCTAGGTTGAGGAAACTAATCCATATAAAAGTTGTTTTATTGAACAATTACTTCCATTCAACAGAAACATGTTTGGGCCGATGATATTTATCAATGTTACTCCTGCCTGCGCTTCAATCAGTTTCTGGTTTCTAAGGTGACGGCACAGCCATTACTTTGAGCGAACAAGGTGATTTGTATCAAGTACGGCTCACATGTAAATTTTAACCTGAACAAATTGGTTTTATTGCTTATTTTGTTAAAAGGTAATAATTGCTCCCTTAAAAAGCCTTAAAAAACACAATCGAAATCATTGCTATTTTTACATCAAATTGATCGCTGGCGTGATTTTATGAAACTGATCCCACAATTATTACACGTTCTTGCTCTTACTAAGATGTTTACAATGTAGCCATGCCTTTTATTCGTTGGGTTATTGACTTTCTCAAGAACGGTCAGGTGGCGAAACCGCCCGTCAAAGAAAAGAGTAGAAAAAACAAACAGAATGTATTAACTGCATAAATGGACAGTTAAAAAAATCGGTCGGTATCTTACATTATTGTATGGCTGTCTCACAAGGACTGGGAAATACAGAATTCACGAATTTGATTGGCTGAAAATCGACATTGTCCGGGGTCTAGATTTTCCCATCTAGACCGGAATCTTGACAGGTTACATTTTGTGGTGAAAAAATACAAAAGCGTTGACTATTTTCTTCTAAAAATATTAGAAGAATTGCCAAGAAGCCTGGAAAGAAAAAAAAGGCAGAGGACGAGCAAACTCACCTTTCTCAAGCAAAATTTCAGCTAGTTTTTTGTATTTAAGGCGATACAATGGACGCAGTGCAATGTCCACCGACCATAGAGGCATACGTGAAAGGACAAAACAAGTACCGCCAAGGAGGGGGAGCACCCTCATACGAGGCTGCCCCACCATAAACAGAGAAAAGACAATAGACACGCTTTAAAACAGTAACCCATGCAATAAAAGCGAAAAAACGAAAGACTAGTTAAAAAATACTAGCTCAGTATATCCAATAAGGGCGACCAGGACTAGGGAAAGAGACCAAAGACTTCAATACATTTGATAAAAGCAAAGAAACCCGAAAAAGCAGTTAAAAACGCAAACCCAGCGCATCCAATAAAGGCGATCAGGACTAGGGAAGACGGACAAAAAATTCTAGATAAAACTAGGCACTCAAAAACTTAGTTTAAAATAACCGCCGGAGACACGGCCAACGACGCCATTAGCACCCCATTGGCGATGGAAAAAGCGACGACGACGCTGGGAGAGGAAACGCTTGAAATACAGAGGCAAATAGAAATTTG